ATGTTTTTTGCCTTTTTCTTTTTATTTGTTACTTCGGTCCATTCGTTCCCGTTATTTTCTTCGATATCAATTGTCAATTCTTCAATGTCAATTTGTTTTCCTTTACCTTTATCATTGTCATTATTAATTATTACTTCGGGTTGCTCTATCGTGACCGTAACTTCCGTATCTTTGATATCACTGTTGTTTTTAATATTACTTTTTATGTTTGTTGGTTCTTTTGAAATAAATGATGCTGCTGTTTTGTCCACTTTTTTAATGAGATTATTTCTTTGATTTTTTAGTTGTGTTTGTATATTTGATTGTGAAGCCAACTGGATTCTTGTTGATCTCCTTGGGGGCCACTGGTTGAGCTATCGGTCATTATGCCAGGTTTCTGAACTTTTAATTAAAAAGAAATAAAAATAAAACAATTTTAATATAATATTACTGCGTATTTTGTATTACAAAATAATTTGAGAAAGAGTTTTTTTTTTTACTCATAGTAAGTTTTGAGAGTATAGAAAGACAAATAAATATAAAGTAATTAATTTTCTATACTATAGAACAATAAAGACAAGGAAACTAGATAAAATAAAGAGGTAACAAGTTAAAGGAAGGATAATGAATATAAAGAAGAGAAAATATGGCAAATTTTAATCTGATAACAATAAAGAATAAAATAAAATAATTTCGCTAGAACTTTGTAAGGATTTTGAAAGATAGATGAGTTCAAAGAATGAAGAATGTGAGTTCTGATTAAGTTACGTGACAGTTTAAGTGAAGAATTGAAGATCAATAGTTTATTTTAAGATTCTAGATTATACAATATAGATTTTACTTATAATTTATAAACAAATACAAAGGAATAAATAAATATATATATAACTTATTTATAGACAAGGTAAAGATTTTATTAAGAAAATAGAAAAAATTCAGAAAGAAATAAAGAAAATAAAGAAATCTATCCTAAGTTTGTTCAAAAATTGTCTAAAGATTTTAATCAAAATTCATTAATTATTTCATTGACTAGTTGATTGATCTATTGAATGAATGATTAACTGATTGAAAAGAATTGATCTCTGATACATAAAGAAGAAAAATTAAAGTTACTTTTATAAATATTTCAATTCTATTCTAAAAATATAAATTAATCTATCAATTAATTACATGATGAAAAAAGAAAAAAGAAAGAAAAAGAACGAAAATAATAAAATAAATTCAATTCCGATCTTGCTTAGCTTCTTGCCACTGTGGAGGTGGTTACAGTTCAAAACATTTGCATCTTCACCTTGGTGAGTGGTTTTTCACTAGAAAAAGTGATCACCATCTAAGCAAATCGATAATTTCTGTAATAACACTGGTCAAATTGTAGAATTTCAGCATCTATCGTACACTTATCGAGCATCTGATAGGTATGCGATAGATGTCCGATTTTAAATAAATTTTAATATATCGGGCTCCCGATAGGTAGAATGAGTGTGCCAAAGTTTGGATATATATCGGGTACATATTGACAGATATCGGATACATATCGGGCTCTGATTTTTTGATATTTTTTTAAAATATATCATACACTTATCGGGCACTCGATTTCATTTATTTTTTATTGGGCATATATCTTCAATATATCGGTATAGTATATCAGATATATATCGGTCACTGTATATTCCTCAATATTAGGAGCTTTTTTCTTACTATCGGATACCTATCGGTGACTTTTATTTATATATTTTCATTTTCTTATTACCGATAATCACA